AAAAAAAAAAAACTGTTAAAGGAAAAAAAAAAAAAAAAAAAAAAAAGAAAGACTGGCAGGATACACCAACCATTACCTTTTGGGTTTATCAAAGCTATCTAAAAGCTGCAGGTGTAAGAACTGCTTGACTGATTTCTGTTTACTCTCTTCATAAATAACTGGTTATACTGAGAGTAATTCCTCTGAGAGTCTGGTAGTTACAGACTAATCTGCAGATTGAATGACTATGGTTAAAGAGCTACACAGTGGAACTGCCATCACAGTCTCCTCCATCCCAAATCAGTCAATTAAAGAATTTGACCCTTGATGTTTCCCATCTAGTTTTAGGAGTAAAAACACATTCAGCCGACCCACAAAGGCCAACTGAAATACTTTTAGATCCCTGAGGGGAAAATGGAAAACTGACCCAGTCTGAGACAAAATATTTCAAATGTTTGCCTGGATCTGATTTTGACAAGTTTTATCAGCTGTAGGCCTCCATCACAGCTACTTATGTATTAGGCCTACACACAGAGAGCTGTTCAAACAGGTAATGCACCTACTAGGCTACTACTGACGTACTCTCATATCCTGTTAAATATGATCATGTGAACTCTCTCAAAGCCAAAGAATGATGCATCAAGCCTGAACACGCCTCTGAGACGAGACACACAAGGAATTCAAAGGGAACAAGTCACATGATCCAGCAGGACTGCATCCAACAGCTTGACAAATGACACTATATAGCCTTTGTTTATACACAATCTGGTTTCTCCTCACGTCTGTAATAAACTCCAGAGCCAGTGAATTGTGGTCTATGATGTCTAACACCTCAAGTCTTTTTAAGCATTATCTGAAATGCTCTACTTCACTTTTGAGTTTGACTGACTGTTTACTGTCAGACTCTTGCACTCATATAAAATAAAGTAAACCCTCCACATAACAGAGGGAAGGGATTTCAGTGGATAATGGGAAACAGGCCTAAGTGGGAAGTGTCAGTCTAAGTATTTGCATTAATGGAGCACATGGCTGCAGGACACACCCGATAATCTGAAACTAATAACAGACTGAGATCATGACTGTCCATAAACAAGTCATTTGTTCATGTACTATTTGTCCATCTGTTTGCAAGGTGACACTACACTGGCTTCTGGGAGGGGGGGGAATACCCACATCCTCTACAGAGGTGACAGCAATCAGATGTCAGTCACCTGATGTCCTCACAAATCCAGACACAAAAAAAACTAGAATGTTTCAAGCTTTCACCAGGGCACTGACTGCTCTTACTCAGCACCTTGTTTGTGCAGTCTCACCGTGAACTCTAGGGAAGGAGCTCATTTGACACACACACACACACCTCCACTGTCCTTAGCGCCCCCTTTTTTTAAAAACACACCACCTACGTCATTTGTTGTGTCATTTTCTCTGCTTTTATTTAGCTGTTTTCTGTCGTAATTTCCAATTGTGTCACTCTTACCAAAAGCCCCACCTGTGTAATACTCCTGAGTCATCTGAGTTTTTGAACACTGAGAACATTTTCCAATCAGACTAACAGAAATATGCATCAGTCTGGGTGAATCAATACTTCAGGTTGTGCAAGGGACGTTTCTTCAGAATCTGTAGGGATATAGATCAAACTTCAGTCAGCTGAATGTTGTCGCTACAGCCCAACTATAACCTTAGTAAAACTGCTGACTCAATTCAACAATACTACAAGAAGATACTCTCTCTGAAAAACCTTTAACGCTTTGTGATAAGATTTCTTAAGGCACACTTATTGGCTTCTATTGATGTGGTTATGCTTATATGACCAGGAGGTACAAAAATTACACCAACAACCAAGGACAGGACTAGGTCAATGTGGTGCCTAGCAACAGCACTGACAACTATTTCTAAGTTAAAGGGGCAAGGCTAGGACAAAACATTCCGTCACTGGTGACTACCAGGTACTTTTAGGACAAAGCAACTGAAGAAGGGCAACTGGAAAGATTTGATCCAAACTGAAAGGGAAAGGATTTCCTGTGAATGGGATAAGGGGTTGCAAAGTACCTTCCTGTCGTTTACTTTTCCATTCACTGACTGGCTGATCTACCAAGTTATTCACACAATACACCTGCATTCTCTCAGTATGACGAAAGACGGAAAACTCAGACTTGACTCTGCTGGAAGATCATGCAACATAATACAGTCAGTTTACCGTGAAGAAGCCTGGTACTTGTCGAAACTTTGAGGAAATGCATTGCGATGTTAAGACACGTTTCTTGGCAGCCAGCTGTAGTACTATTAGTATCTATTGACTAATGACATTTCAAAAACTAGCATTCATACAAATAACTGGAGGGGTCCAACTACTCCATTTCTATAATCCTGGTGTATTCACATTAAACTTTTCACACTGCAGAGTAAAAGATGTTGAATAATGTGGCCTGAGCTTGGTTCTGGCTTTACCTGTTGAGGAACGCGTTGCCAAAAGCGTTGAGTTTGCGGAAGGGCTTCTTTGGGTCGACTACCAGCGCATTACCCGGTATCACCCCTTCCTGTTCGCCATGCATCACAGCAATGAAAGAGTCTGTGGTCGGCTCGGGACCAATCCGCATACCGGGGAAATCCTGCTCCATGAGGTGTCGGATGAAGGTGGTCTTGCCGGTAGAGTACTGACCCACCAGGAGTACCATGGGCTTGTTATCGAAGTCGGCATCTTCGAGTGCAGGGGAGTGGAAGTCGTGGAATCGATACGTGTCCTCCAACGGGAACAGTTTGGTCCGGTAGAGCCGCCGCAGCCCCTCCGACACGTTCTGAAACAGCTCGGGGTCCTTCTTTAAGTTTTTTCTGAACATACTTGCTGATGAATTGACACCGTTTTGTCACTCTCCGCTTAAATAACCGGTTGGCTTAGAGGTGTGGTTCTCTCACACCGTCAAGATAGTAGCTGCCTGCTGGAAAGAAGCAACGACTGGGCGAGGTCTTGGAAGTTTTTGTCCCCACCCTCCTCTTCGCTAGCTACCAACACGCTGCGAGTTAAGACATTCAGGGAGGACTCCCTTTTCAGCTGACGTTGGCTAATGTAAGATAGCCAGCAACACTACGACATAAATATCTAGCCTCAGGTAGGATATATATATAATTTAATGCGACACAGCTGTGAGAATAAAGCCACCACTACTCCTATTAGCGATTAGCTACGTCGACTAACAACCGGCTGTCAATTGCTGAACCCCACCAAAGGTGGGGGTGGGGGCGGGGGCATACGTTTACCGGAAACTGAGGCTGATTTCACAATAAGAGCCTAAATAATGTCAGCCAGTCGGGTCTTCAGCGGGTTACACCGTACAGCAGGCTACTTTCTTTCTGCCTTCGTTTTTTAAAGAATTTTGTGTCTCTGAAGAAGTTCTGGTATAATGCGTTCTTTTGACTTATGTATAATCGTATAATGACGCACTTGAATTGGCCAGTTGTAACAGACGTAGAATTCTTCCACATTTTACCCCAACTAATCTCTCATTTCACTTGCAATAGTGAAACTGAAAACATGGGTACTTTTGGGGATAAAATGTTTATTCATTCGTTCATTTCAAGGAAACTCCTGGTAACGTATGGTAAATGATTCTTTTATATTCACATTTAGTTTTATTTTTGGTTTTGACTTCCATCCATCCATCCATTTTCCTCCGCTTATCCGGGACCGGGTCGCGGGGGCAGCAGTCTAAGCAAAGCTGCCCAGACTTCCCTCTCTCCAGACACTTCCTCCAGCTCCTCCGGGGGAATGAGGCGTTCCCAGGCCCGCCGAGCGA